TCCCAGTACGTATCGAAATATGTGACTTGCGTGGGTGATCACTGCCAGTGGAATTGAATGCGTTATTCGAAAGTCTTCGAACGTTTCTACGCCGTCGAACGTGAAAACGAACGGATCGCGGAATGAAATTCTTTTGATGACCGGAAAAACACAGCCGGGTGAGCAATTTATTGAAAAACCACATTTCCTGTTCGACGATATTTTAGAAAACGATTGCGTTCTCGTTCGGAAATAAATTAAATTAGGTCGCTTGTTAAAACTTCCATTTCTTCTTTCTACAAACCTTTTTCTTTTATACAGGGTGTCCCAGAAAAAGTGTTACAGCCGACGGGAAGTGTTTTTGAACAACAATTTCCTTTGCCAAAATGCAAAATGAGGCATGGTTTTTGAATTATTAACAAAAGACACTGATCAATGAGAGTACGCGTAGGGCCCGCGTCCAACCAGAGGTAGGTTGGCTTGGATCGTGGCGCTCGGCCGTTGGTTAGCGCAGGCCTTACGCGCGCTCTCATTGGTCAGTGTTTTTCGTTAATTAAGATATTTATAGACCTCCGGGGCCCCACGCGACCACTTAATCCGTCCCTGGTTGTTCATCATAAGAGAAAACCTTTGTTTTTCATACTTCCTTATAATGCAAATGGTTTAATAATCACTGCTTTACCTTTGATTTCCGTGTACAGCCCGTATTTTAATTTTTCCGTTGACACGGCAATCGAACTGCCGAAAATGACCATATCCGGTTCGGTGGCCAAGAGATCCTCAAGCTCACTGTGCTTCCGAAGCGTGGCCTCGAACTCTGCCAAGCTGATGTGTAACAATTCCCGTATACTCCTCTCATTCTTCCAGAGAAACTTGTAAGGCTTCCATCTATTAATAAATTCTGTCAAATCCTGTAATTTAAAGAAAATCATCAAAATCGTCTGATCGATGATAGCGTAATAATATTAATTAATTTAAATTGCTACCGGCTTGAATTCCTGCATACATGTGTTCAGTATAGACAACAGTTTCATAATTTCTTTGTTGTCCATCACCATTGTGTGAAAATTCTGTTCCTGAACCGGAAACAGTGGTCTCTCCTCCGAAAGGATTTTGTACAATCTCCGCCTTCTGACTTTTGGATCCTCGACCTCCTCTTGCTTCTTCTTCGCTGCCTGCATCTGTGCTCGCATCACGATGTCCGCGAAATTTCTCCGCGGGTAACCCTGATTCCAAGAATTCTGGAATAATAATTCTCTCCTTATATTAACGTTATAAATATTTTCGTTCACAAATCAATTGAATAATTTATTTTCTGCAGACAATCAAGGTTCTGATCAATCACTGAATACTTATAATTTATTTATAATTACAAATATATAAATATATAAA